TTTTATTTACGGCTGAAACATTTAACTCCGTTACTTTGACATCGCTATTCAACCTGGATCGGAACACGAAAGTGAAAGCGATCTTGAAATCTCGCCCACCAGATTTATTTTACCCATATAAATAACAATTTTTAAGGATTAGCGCGTATTGTGCTATAGAAGAGAAATTGTTGGAATCACGAGCCATTATATTATTTTTTTTTGTCAAAATCGCGATATACAAAAGGATATTAAACGTGCCCGAGGATAAATATACCTGATTTTTCTTTCGTGATTATAAATGATATAAATATATGTATCTACCTTCTCGAGTTTATTATATTCATTTACGTGTATGAAAAAAAAAAGGCTCGAGGCTAAGTAAAAAGTCCAGTAATAGCTCGTCTTGAACGTATCCATGTATAATCACTTCCTTTCCACGTAAGAAAATGTGTAGAAGAACACACGTAGAAAACTTTCACGAGTGATTTTTTTTTTTTTTTTTTTTGATCGAAGAGAACGTTAAAAATGACAATCGGGATCAGGGTCACGAGGAAAATTCGCGCCGTGACTCATTTTGGTAAAATAAGCGCGTATCTGGCATTTAATTCGTTTGGAAAGAATTCGAGAACGAGATTCGAATCGATGAATCTTTTCATTTTTTTTTTTTTTTTTTCTTTAAAGATCTCCAGACGAGTAAACGTGAAACGCGTTAACCGGCGACATGGCTTATAACGACGGCCACTGTTCGCCTCTGTACAAGCCTCTCAAAGGCGGCGAGAGTTTTTCCACGCGGCGAGATTAATTGCTCCACGCCATCCCGGCGTGTAGTGTATTGGCGGCGGCTGCATTTACGGTAATTCAATGTAAATAGGAGGGGGAAGGAGGGGAGGGGAGGAGGATCTGTCGATCCTTGTACCGATACAATCGGTATTTGACAAATCGTATTTAGTCACGCGTCACTGGCACCACGCGATCCAGTTTGCGCCTTTAATTATACTTTCTTCGCGGTATTCGATTTATTGGCCGTTTTGCCGCTGTCTTGAAACGATTTATAAGCGTATCGAGGCTTCGCGTCAACACGCTTGGACACTTCTCTATCTTTTATATACACGAAATAAAACTTGTAAAATTTGTAGCAATTTTCTCGTTAAGAAATTTTTAAGAAGTATTTTAGAAGATGGGAATCCACGGAGATTATTTTCCTCTTCTCGAGATTTCTTTTCAATCCGAGGTTCAATGGTGCATTTAATAACGCGTCGTCGATCGATTGGGGAGGAAGCCGACAAAGTACATGAAATATTGGCGGATTGAATAATTCAGTGCGAAGCGGAATATATTCGGGATTGTATGCAAACGATATTAAACTTTAAGACGGAGATTATTTATTATTTTACGAAAAATGCGGGTATTTGATTTAATATTAAATATCGCGTTGATAATAGTAATTCAGAAATATCAGCTTCATTTTTTTTCAGGATTTAAAATGTATAAATATTTAAGAACGATATTACGAGTGTCGTAATTTTGAACATTAAGTGAATTAAAAATCGAACTCGTGAATTGTAAACTTACCTCGCGAGAAAGGGTAATCCGATATTCGTAATGAAGCACCGGTAGTTTCACCTTTCGGTTGTTCGTTACGTCGTTTTTCGTCGAGAAATTTCGCGCGTCGAAGAGATCGATCGTAGACCAAATCGAAAAAGCGTCACACGTGACACCGTGGAGTGCCCGTCCAATACTGACTCGATCTACTTTGCGTTTTACTCGCGAGTGCGCATCGCGGCGCAGGATTAGCTTTTGCGCATGCGCACCAGGATGCTCCAAGTCAGGTGCTCGATTCGTCGATCGCGTCAATTTCGAAGCGTACTTGACTATGTAAGATTTTTTTTTCTCGATACTGTACTCATGACGATTCGATTTTCTTTCTTTTTTTTTTTTTTTTTTTTTTTTT